CTCCTACTCCAGATTGAACCCCTCGCTAGCAATTGCAAGAACCAGGCCTGCATCAGTAGGGAGGGATAATCTGGCCCACAGTGCACTGAATTACACTGTTGCCTAATAGCTGTATTGCTCTCTGCCAGCTGAATAGCATCTGGATGCCAGATTCTGCAGAGACCTGTATGACATATCTGTAAACATGCTTTCTGAACACAGTAAACCTCCATGTACTCTGATACTTTCTGCCTTAAGTAATATGGAAAAAAATAGGACTAATTTTTTTTTCCATCTGACTGCATTTTAGATAAATACTAAAATCCCAGAACACTTGGACAAATGAGTAATAGTCACCAGTGAGGGGGAGGAGGATAAATGTTATAAAACAGCATCTGGTATGTATGAAACCAGCACAAGACTGAGAAATCCATAATCTTCAACTGCCAGTTTGTTAGCTTTTCTTCTTAAAGGAAGGTGCTACTATTAAAAAAAAAAATAAATCAAAATTACTTCCTCTTGGAAACCTTGGGGTTGCCTCTCATTTCCAAGGCAGTACTAAAGTTACTGCTTGGAAAAATATCCTCGTCTGTGTGAAGAATAAGAAACTCAGTGATTCTTAATTCCCTGTTTTTCTAGAGGTTTGGATGTTAGATTTGGTCATTCCCCACACAGTGACCACTTGACATTCAGAAGTTGGCCCTCAAATGCAGTAAGCCCAGGAGCCAGACGGAATACAACTGGGACCTCCCAGTTTCCCTGGAGCTAAGTAAAATAGACAAATAAAACTCAAATCAAAAGCAAGGAAAATACTTCTAGCAATAGTGATGAATGTTACTGTTTGTAATAAACACAAGCACACACAAAAGACAGGGTTCTGCAGAGACTGTATTTTTGGATTTTGGGTCTTTTTTAAGCCATATATGTTGCATGACTTCTCTATTTCTCTAGTGTGCACTGGCACCTTCTGGGATGCATCAGCAGTGCTGTGGAAAGAGGCTGTAAAGCTGTGTTATGTTATCATGTCGTATTAAATGTCATGTCGTTGCATATATCATGTTATGCAGCAGGTATACACTATGTGTGGTAATGGCAAACACAGTAAATCTGTGCATCTTTTTAATGTTTGCTGTCCAGTTCCTTGTATTCCAGCTTTGTAAATTTTGGGCCAGAGCAAACTTCTTTTGACTATTTGGTACATGGACCCTCTTGCTGAGTGCCAAGCTGGTGGATATTAATTCCTTTTCAGTTTTTCACTTTTCCATTTTCTGGTCACACATCTGCTTTGCCAACATGGAAAGACTGTAAGCATTCCAGCTCTTTACTCTCACCTGAATAAGTAAATGACAATCAGTTTAGCAGCTTGTAAGGGGAAGAAAAGTAAACAGTGCTGTGACAGCAGGTCTGCTTTTCCCCACAGCTGTAGAGCTCTGACCACCATACAAATGAAGGGCACAGTCAAGACTGCTGGAAGTATTGAACAATTAATGAATTTTGCAATACATATAATATGCTTTTACCTCAGAGGGATTCAGAAGGGCTCCAAAGGGAATTTAACATGGATAATTCTAGTTGGGAAGCCAGATAGGCCACAGAAGAAAACCCAGTAACTATGGTAATGTGAAAAGAGGCCTGGGCAGCCTAGGGAGATAGGCAAGCATTTAGAAGTACCAACAAGAAAGACACAGGAAAGCCAATAGCTTCCATAACACCAGCCAGTAAGTGCAACAGGACAACAGCAATGTTTGTCAAGGCACTGTCAGAGGGATAGAGGCTTCTCAGCAGTGACTGAGAATAAAATCAAAGGTACTGGCATAAGGACAGAAATTACATGATGGGGATGGCTGGTAGCAAGAGAAAAGGTACCAAAGACAGATTTATTTTTGTGCATAAAGATGTTTCTGAATTTCAAGACAGATAACTCCTACCCTGGACTGAAGATAAATATGCATAATCATCAGAAGAGAAAGACAGATGAATCCAATAAATTTGCAATGTGCACAACTCTCCTGCAGCTCACACCTTCTCAACCACAAGGATACTGATAAATATATCCATCTGCTGTAAATGTGGAAGCTTTTCACAAGTCTTACTTGTCAGTTGTTCAGCTCAAACCACAGGACATTACTTGTGTCTCATAACAAGCCTTTCCCTTTGTGGTCCATATAGATGGTAGGGAAGCTTGCTTACTCACGAGACTAAGATTGCTTAAACATGAAACACCATTGCATGTCTTTGAGTTCAATAGAGATGCAGTAATTATTTTCACCTAACAATTAAAGGACAAAAAAATCAAGCTGGAAATCAAAAGACAATCCCTTTCATTGCACCGCTGGAAACATTATTTTGAACTATCTTTACAAAACCACACGAAAGAGCAAGCTAAAAGGACACACATATTAGTAGAGTTTTAATTCAGACCATATAATTTAATTCTGAATTATAATAGATCAAAGGGAAACTGAAATAAAAAAAATACCTGTTGGATTACGAAGAATGGAATTCCTCTTCTTAATAGCTCTGAAAAGATTACAGTGTCATGAGGTTCCATCAATCAGAACAAAAACCCAAAGAACAAGGATAAATCAAAGGTTAAGTGCATGATGCTGAGGAACGCTCTAGCCACCTTCCTTTTACAATTATAAATCAGATAAGTTTGTGTTGGTGGATCTATTTAGAAGGAAAAACAGCAGTCTATATTCACACAGAGACTTTCTGCCCATGCATTTCCCCTGATGTTTACAACCACCTTGTATTTTGCCATCTCAGTTAATGAACTGTCGCTATTTCTCTGTATGTATTCTCAAAAGGCTTGTTATTAATTTATTTTTAAACTTCTCTTTAGCCCAGGAAAAGAGAGCACTACAATATTCATTGTTTCTATTCAACAGAAGGGAAGAACAAAAGGAAAGGAACCAAAGCCTTAGATCCATAGAAAGATCAAACTCCTTTCTGCTGTAACTCCAGTGAAATAATTTAATATAGCCCAGAGATGTGCTTAGTCTATATTTTTTACACAAGAACAGTAAAGGTCCTAAATATTTCAGGAACCTCAAACAGGGATTGCCTAGGGATTGTCTATATGGCAGGACTCAAGATGGAGATTTTGGTCTCAAAGAGAATTTTATTTTTACATTGTTTGTTTCCTTTCCATTGCAGAGCTTGGAGACTGTACATCCTCAGGGAGACATCCAGTTACTTTCTAAATCAAGAGGTGGCCTAAGTTTGGTTTCAGTGGAAGCTGGAACAGGCCGCACATGCACAGGAAACATGCTGTTACCTAACAGTGTGCTTTTATATCAGGTGATCACTAGAAAGGTGTACCATCAACATATTCCAGATGTCTAATTTTTCCTTAACCGATTTGCTGCTGCAGGCTATTTGGGGCCCTTAGTTCAACAATTGTGCTCTTTAAAATGACAGTGAGTGCTAATTTTGTCCTAAAACCTGGATTTATAAAAGCAAACTTTTATAAAACCTGAAACCTAAGGAATTGCCATATGCTATTGTTAAATTCCAGTTGTTTGCAAGCTGATATATACCCTCCAGGAATGCCTGAATTCCCATACAGCAGCAACTTGGAGCTACGTTAAACAATATAATGAAAACTAAAACTGCTTCTGTAGCTTTTTGTTGACTTTCATGCTTGATGCTGACCAAGAAGTCATTGCTTGAGTTTTCATTGTGTAGGCAGCATCTCCTTAAGCTGTCATCAGGCTGTATGGCTTCAGTCAGCAGCAGAGGCAACAGATGCTCTCTCCACTGTAGTATCATTGTAGGCCAGCTCTGAAAGCAGCTTTCACGGTGTTGGGTCATTCTGGTGCCTATGGTTTGGGAAGCCTCCACTGGATAGTGTTGTTAATAAAAGTGATACTCTGTGGTGTCTCTCATGCCCTTACAAGGTTTCACTCAAAGTGCAAGGTACTACTCTACTCCTGGGTTATGCTACTACAAGTTCTCATCTGTTAATACCCTCCCTACCTTTTTGGAATGTCACTTGAGCTTGCTTTTCCAAATGCTTTTGCTCTTTTTTAATGCTGTATGAATAGTATACATGAAGAAAAGGGTTTCTGTTTCCCTCCAGCTGAGAAAAGCATCGAGTTCTGAATGGAATCAAAAAGCAGCTGATTGATCAGTTTTGGGCACATGAGGCTGAGTAAGGAAACTGGGGGTTCTTCCCACCCCCCTCCCTTTCTCCTAAGTGTGGATTAAATCGCACTTTGTAAATAAAACCGGTGTGAATGGTGTGCTAGGTCACATCCCGTCTACATCCTCGCAAGCAGTAACAATTTCTGAAAGATTTAGCACACATATTCAGAGTTCGTGGAAGCCGTCCAGCGCACTTCTAACGGCTTGTATCTAATTTGTCATTCAAGTTGTTTCTTTTTAAATAAGGCGCAGAGGAACACGCTAATTTTAGGATGCCGGTGCTGGGCGGGGGGAGTGGGGGAAGGCGGGGAGGGGTGGTTCACTCCCACGGAGGAGCTCTTCCCGAGGCGGCGGGCAAGGACAGGCGCGGGAAGCGCTCCCAGTGAGCGGGAAGTGATGCCCTCGGGCTGCCGCGGGTGCGGCGAGCCCCCGACAATCCCTCTCTGCCGGCACCCGCTCGCACTTCGCCTCTACGGCGTGGTAAGCCGCTCCCTCGGGACGAGGCGGCTCAGGGAGCCATCGCTCCCTCGGTTCCGAGTCTCCCGCAGGGCCGCTGCGGGATTAGCTCCGCGCCCGCCCTGCCCTGCTGTGCCCGCAGCCCGCCCTGCCCTGGCTGCTTAAGGCCGGCTCGCGGGCTCAGCTCCGGCTTAGCCCGGGACTCCTGTCCCCGCGTCCCCTCGGGGACCGCTCCCCACCTGTCCGCGGGCGCTGCCCGTGACGTCATGGAAACACCCCCTTCCCCCGCCCCGCCGGCCGGGAAGGCGGGCGGGCGGGAGCAGCGGCTCCTGCGGGCGGCGGGGCGGGGGCAGCGCGGCGGCTCCTCCCGTTGGCCGGCGGGGCCGTCAGTCGAGCGCGGCGGTCCCGGCGCCGGTCCCGCTCGTGGGTGCTCCCCGGCAGTCGGAGCGAGCACTCCCGCCCGAACCGGCGCAGGTGGAGTGGCCCTTTATGGTGGCGGCTGTCGCTGCTTTCAGGCTCCGTCCTCCCCCCCTCCCTCGCTCCTGCCTGCGGGGCGCCGCTGCCCGGGGGCCATGGCGGGGGCGCTCGGCGGGCCATAGGTGAGGAGCTCAGGTGGGTGTCCGCCGAAGGCACGGGACGGGGCGGTGTAGCGGGGCGCACCCCTGGGCGGGCTGGCGGCGGTGGCGCTGCCCTCGCTGAAGGGCCGCGGGGCGAGCCGGGCTGGGGGGCGGAGGCGGCGAACTGGGCACGCGAGGAGAGTGGCGTTTTAGCGCACGGGAAGCACCTTTCTCGCCCAGAGGGCGCCCAGGGCTGACGGCCGGGGCTGCTGCCCGTGCAGCGCCTTCTCCCGCCTGCCCCGCCGAGCCCCTCTCCAACCACCTCCTGTGGTCCTCGGGGTCCCCGGCCGCGCTGTCACAGCCCCACGCGGCTGTTCCGGAGCGGCAGCCAACTTAGACATCTTTCCCTGCTCCGGGAGGGTGCCGCTGACGGGGTTATTTGACTCCTGGTGCGCTCCGTGTGGCACCGAGGTGGAGCGCATTCCGGGCGGGCTGTGACACACCGGGCTGGCGCTGCCCGGGGAGCGGTGGCCGTTCCCGGCGTGGGCTGGGGCAGGTCTCCTCGCCTGCTGCGGGCTCTGGGGAATCGCCCGGCAGCCGGCTGGCTGTGAAATGGAACTTCAGAATTCTTGGAGGTGTTTGCAAAGCCGTCATTCTCCTCTAATTCTGTGTTTCTCTGTGCGCTTGTAAAATAAAATAATAATAAAAAAAGAAAAAGCCATCATTATTATTATTTTTTGCCTGCATCTTAAAGAAAATAGGTTAATTAAATGCGTCTTCGGTTTCCAGGTTGATTTAATTTCCATTTGAGGACCAGTTAAGCAATATGAGCTTTTAAATACTCCAGTACTTGAAAACTGTTTGGTGTACAGCTTAGTGACAGTGAAGTACTCTTCACTGAGACTTTTATTTTTACTAGGAGGATATCTGGAATGGCTAGTCTGGAACGGCATTTAATAAATGTAAGGTAATTTGTCTGCCTTACAGTTTTGTCCAAGGTTTCTAATGATGGTAACAGTGTTCTTCTTTCTGTTTTTTGAGAAGGGACACGGGGAATAGTTGCTTCATCCCTTGACTTTCATCTATTAATCATAGAGTTCAGAGCGTTTTACTCTACTTAATTTCAACAGAGCTTTGTAAGCCTGCTTTGGTTATTTAAAGCATGTGTTTTCATTAGCAGTTTCTGTAAAGCCATGGGTAACAAGAGTTTTAATTTTCATGAGCTTTTATTTTTATTGTCGAAAATATTTTAAAAAAGGTATCTTTAAATAATACTCCCTCGCCTGTACTCGCAATAGATTAAGCTAGCTACTTTTCAACTGTGGCTCTTAGGCCATTTTCAAAACAACAGCATTCACAAGTCTTTACTATCTTTACTCTTATATTGCCTTCCCCATATATTGCTTTAGGCCGATTTATGCCCTCTCTTTTATCATTTTGTGTAGTATCTTGGTTTGCGAGAAGGAAAGGTGGGAGAGGACTTTTAGGTAAGATGTTCTCTGTGTGTGCACTGGACAATTGTGGTTGTGCTGAAATTCCTAGTGTGTTCACTGAGGACAGGAAATGATGGTGGGACTCAGCTGGAGTCTGCTTGTTGCAACACTGTCTGGCTAGCTCATTCACTGTTGCAAATGTAAGTATTCTGTATTTTATACAGAACCTTATTATTTTTTTTTAAGTAGACGTGTGCACATAGTCATAAAGAATTTGGTCTTGTTCAAACCACATCTGTTATAAACAGATATGTGTCAGCCTAATGGCTATTCCTTCATTTGTTGCGTTCTCTAGGTCTTGTTACACACTGTGGAGGAAGTAGAGTCAAACAGGGAATTTCCTGTATCTTATGGTTTCTAACTCTAAAACTGAGTTTTCAGTTGCTATAAATGGTACTCTTAGCTACAAAATGAGAAAAGCCTTTCTATTGAAAAGTTAATTCATACACTAAGTGCTAATATGTTTTAGGTTTAAACTGGATTTGCTGTAAGATGCATTTCAAAACCATGCAGTGATGAAGGAGGCAGCAGAATGAGTATGTGACTGTGCAGTCATAGGGTACTTTTATAGGTCAGAAGCAGCATAGTATCTGTATCAGCATATTTTGATCTTATTGAATTCAATCTTACTTTACTTCAGTTATGTTAAGATTTGACTTGCCAAAGTTGCAAAGTTTTGCTGCTAAAGGGCTGAGAGGTAGATACTGTGATACACCGCAACTAATGTAGCCAAAGAAACTTCTAGGAGAATCTAATTGCTTTTTCCAGTATCAAATTTCAGATAATAGGATGCAGATATTGTGACATCTGACAAACAACTATCCGGATAGGGACTAATGTGTTACCAAATTTACTCTGCTCTGCTTTTTGAGATGCTGGATTTATGTGTCTGTCTTCTGCATTAATGGTTATGGTAAAGCGTTATACTTTGGGGGACGCTGTTTTTAGGCTCCTGCAGCTGTCACTTTTAAGTCTTTGAATATTGTGGCTTGACATACATGTTTCATTGCTTTAGTTTCTCATTTATCTGAAGGACAAGGAGGTTTTGTGTATGTAACATTGTCCTTTTGTGAGTACTTGTCCTTATTCTGCTAACATAAAATATATCTCCTCTGTGTTATCTAATTACCTTAGAGCGAAGTTTTCTGTCTGCCTTCAAGGTTGAGTGATGTGGATGTTGATGCTAATGAATATGACAGTCTACATAAAGTTGAACACTTAACAGCTAAGAAAAGCACAGCTGTGGGTCTGACCCTGGGAGGCAGGATATCTGTAACTCCTTCTCCTTTCATCTGTTCTAGCTCGTTGTTCATGCAAAGTTCTTGAAGATGCTTGTGACTTTCACATGGTGCATATGTTCTATAGAAATAGAATCTATTATATATGAAGTTATGACAATAATGAATACAGCGTTGGAGTTGTAGTTTTGGAGCTCTGTCATCATGAAACTCATGGCCTCTTGTTGCAAGTTACCTGAAACATTTATAAGTAGAGTTAAGGACAGCCTCAGCCAGGGCAGAAAACAAAAAACACGAACAAATTTTTTCTGGTTTTCTGTATTCAGCTGTCCCAACTGAGATAATTGTTAAATGATCAGAGCTGTTGGTACTGTTGGATTTTTTTGTTTGGTTTGCTACGTTGTTTTGTTTTTCTAAAATACAAATTCAATGGCAATTCTGGTACCTGCCTTCTTAGTAAAAGCAGTGAGAACTCTAAGAATGCTAGCTGAAACTGAGAAATGTATTTGGCCATTGCAGCTCAGCCCGTGCTGTCCGGCCTGTCTGGTGTGCCAGAAGAGCACTGACTCAGTGCAAGCTCCTTAGGGTAGAAGTCACGTGTCAGTGTGTAGCACTGAGCACAGCAGGGCTTAATCCTATTTCGGTGTCTGGGTGCTCCGTGATGTTAACCACAAAAGTAAAGAAATACAGTTGAGCTGCTTTCAATGTGGCAAGTGCTGAGCAGTTTTTACAATGCTTGTTTGCTATTTGCTAATTATTCCCAGTGTTTGGATGATGAAGGCTATTCTAGACATGCCTCTTGAATTGTTTTCTGTGGAAAATACTTACTGATAAGCAAAACTTGACAGGAATCCCTGTTATCTGCAACAGGAGAGAGGAATAAGAGAGAGAACTGACTTTCATTGACCTCTAAGCCCCAAGCTGAAGTAGTGCATTGAGAATTGCTATGCGCATCTAGCTCTTAGACATATCTCTAACCTAAATAATTGTATATCTGGCTGTAAGACAGACAGCCTGACATAAAGATAGGGGCTGCCTAATAGTGTCTGGTAAGTCACAGAAGGAAGGCTGCAGTTATGATGCTTTATGTGCTTCTGTGCATTGCTTTTCAATTTCATAAGTTTAGTCTGAATTTGAAATTTCTTCCTTTGAAGTCATTGAACAATATATTAGGCAAGCTCTGCATTCCTTGTCCAACTATGAGCAGTGTGTATATATATATATATCTGTTTCTAGATTTCTCACTTTCAAGTCCAGTTGTTAAATTACAAGTACTTGAACTGAACATTTCCTCTTTAGTCTTTAAGTTGTGGAGTTTTGATGCCTGAATCATATTTCAGTTGGCAAACACAGCTGCTGCCATGTCAACATGTAATTATTTCCTTCTGAACGTTTTCTTTGGCACTTATGTTAACACCAGTGTGCAAACAAATCTTCCTTTCTTCTGCCTTCCACTGTAATGTAGGGATTGACAATTAAAGAGATTTTTCTTTTGATTTATCTTTCCATAACAGTAACTTTTTAAGTGATAGCTTCAGATTCTGCCTGCATATTGGTTGAACTGAAACCTAAAAACCATGGTACTATGTGGTGCTATAGTTGTCATGCAGCACTTGTATTTAGTTGCTGGTGTTAGAATGAAGACAGTAACAATACAGAATAGTGAAGGTGAGAAACCTGTCCTTGTTTGTAACAGTGTTTCTAACTATTCTGTGTTTACTGTGGTGATATCTGTTGAATTTCAGCAATGATTTTTTAAAATTATTAATTATTAATAATAATAATAAAAAAGTAATGGGCTTTCTGGCCATTCAGTGTATCCTCTGACAAATGTTTTCTGGGTAGAAGTCTGAAATGTTCCCTCACTGAATGCATTCATACTCTTCCCTCATTTTAATTGCACTCAATTCTGTTATTACTGCTTGTGATGATACTGCAAAGATTCTGTTATCACAAGTGTAATCTCTTATCTGTTGTGCCAGTTGCTTAGGTCATTTTTAGGTCACTAATCTGACACCACTTTTTCTCATGATTCTGGTGGGTTTTCCTAGTAGCAGCATACACAGTTTTACTCTTCTGACTTAAGTCTGTTCCACTTTCATATAGTTGCCAGTGAAAATGAATGAAGCTCCTGTTCCTAATGGTTCTGATAAATACAGCTGTGTGGGTGTACTCTGTTTGCCTCACATGTATACTTTTCTCTGCCCAGAGAGTAGATGAAATCACTGAAGAGACAATTTCTGAACAGCTTGTCAATCAGCAAAAGAACCATGTGTGCAGGAGACTTTATCCTTCTCAGTGCACAAGCCCATCTGTGTCACTAT